ATTCTAGTTCACTGCCTCTCCTCTCATCCTTCACACATGAAAAAAGCACTTATCAAAAACATGTACCGTACGGCTAAAAAAGGGGTACAGGAGGAGAGGAAAGTAAGGATTCGCAAAACCTGGCACGAAAAATTGCCATTTCCAATGGCTACGAAGTAGAAGCCACTCGGGTTAGAGGAGAACATTGGGTAGTTTCCCAAAATAATATTTCAGACGACAGTAGGTTTTCCTTTAAGCTTTCCTTCATATCAAATGAAGTAAGTAACGCCATTAAAAAGTGCTTAAGAAAAAGTGATCTTAAAAGTTATGTAACGATTATTGACATCCCACCCAATACGCTACGCCGCCAGTTAGTTCGAAACTGTCTTTATGATCGTTTGTGCAGCTCAGAAACCTGTATGATCTATCCTAACGGGAGAAACGGGGATTGCATGAGTTTAGGTATAATATACTTGATCTCATGTAATGCATGCGGCGAGGAATATATCGGGGAAACGGGTAGACCACTTGGTGTCCGCATAAAAGAACATCTAGATGGGAAAGCTAAAATCCGTTTAAACGCCCCTCTAGGTACGCATAGGGCACAAAAGCACAACGGCGATGATTTTGAAGTGAATGTGCGGATCCTAGCGCAGGAATCAAAAACATCAACGCTCAAAACTCTTGAGGCGTTTTGGATAAACTTCACAGATCCAAAAATGAACCGGGAAGGCGAATGCCTCACTATCACGCGTGACCTGGCGCCTTATTTCAAAATGATATTTTGACCTCGGGGTGTGTCTTGCTCGCGATCAGACGTGAACTACGTGTGGGTCATTCCCACACGTAACATCACGGTGTTTTTGTTCAACATCAACATCTTTTTGTTCAATATGGCGTCTATTTGAAAGTTTGATCTCCATTAATACTTTAGCCTTTTTCCACCTAATAATAAAAATATTTTAATATAAAATACGTCTAGGCTCTGAGGAAGGCGAAGTCGCCGAAACGTCAGCCATCGGCGAAAAACATCAAAAACAACGATAACGACAACGAAGACCTGTACAACCTCGCGTCAGCTTACGAGGATCAGTTTATAAGATCATATAAATAAATATATCAACTATCAATGTCGAGCTTTATAGAAAGTCGGTCTTTCGGGGTACGACTTTATTTATAGGTTACCGTTCAGCTTGCCGGTTGATGGCTTGGTTAGTATGTCAGAGTTGGATCGCTCCTCTTGGTTATTTGGAGGACACTATCAAATTTATTCCTCGTAGCTGTACTGTATTAAGGAATGAATGCGTATTGCCACATTACAAACATCTCGTGTCGCATTCATGTATGGGATAATGACATAGGTTCTGCAGTTTAAGGAAAGATGCTTAATGTAACTAAACGGTGACGGGGGTGACCAGGTGACGTGGTGACTGTATATGAAAAAGATCCAGTTTTGATCCTTTTTGCATCGCAGGTTGAGAGTCGAGAGCACTTCTATGTACTTGTGAGTCTGCACATTATTCGGGAAGGTTCCCTAGGAGAAATGGATATAGAGTCTGTATTATTTTGTCAGCATTTTATGGATACACAATAACCGACGTTTCGGCGATTTCGCTCTTTTCAGAGCACAGAATGGCTTTACCAGACAAAACTTAATACATGAATTTCTATTTGTATAATAAACACCTTTCTTTAAACACCCGCTATTTGAATAATTTTTTGTAATTTTGTTCAGCAAACACGAGGTTAAAACGAGCAAACACCTCGTGTTTGCTGAACAGAAGTAGAAAGAATTATTCAATCAATGCCTAGGTTAATAGAAAGTCGGACGTGGGAGTTACCCACTATTAGGTTCCTTGTAAGTGTTCCAGCTATTTGGTGGAGAGCAGCGGCACACAGTATTTATTACATGGGCGAGGAATGTGCCTGGCTCACGTCAGAGAATCAGCCTGAGCTATGGCGCTAGGACCCGCGTAATCACAGAACACTCCTCGCGGTTCATTCTTAGATCTTTCGCTCTTGTCTAAAACATTTCAAAACTATATAATAATTTGGATTTCTTTGCGAGGATAGTGAATTTTACTCCAAAATCTTTTCTGCCATCTCTTTGTGTCCTATGCTTTCCTAGTGGAGTCTTTGGTTTAAATTAAATCTAGGTGTTCTTTTATACTAACCCAGAGTTGTCTACCTGTTTTTCTTATATATTTGTCTCTGTGATCTATACGAGAGACTTGACACACCATACCCGAACTTAAATGGCGCGTGTGGCGTAGTGGTCGGAAGCGCCCTGCAAGACACGTGGAATCGATTCTTGCCCCCATGACCCACCTAGCCCTCCATTGCTCCAGGTTCGACAAATTGGTACCAGATTTTTTTGGGAGGATAGCAGCACTGGCTCGACACATCAGTAGACCACCACGAGTCGTTGTAAAGGCCAGATATGCATTCAATCACCTCCAAATGGTGCTTAATGAAGTCGAATGCATGTTGCATCCCTCAGGGATTGATCAACGCCGAAAGTTTCATCATCCTTCGTCCGAACTCATACATTTACAGTCTACCGGTCATCGCACATGAATCAAAAACCTCAGAGCGTAACGATGAAGTTCCAGAATTCAAAAACGAACGGCACCAAAAAATGCCTTGTGATCACGCGTGACCTCGCGCCATATCTCAGGATAATTCATCAACCTGACTCGAAACATACTTCTCGCCTATGAAGAACTCTGTGCTACTGACCTCCAACAAATAACTGGGAGATTTGCAAAGTACAAAACGTTAAGTGTTTACTGTCTATTGTGCGAGTGAAAAATTTATGTATTAAGTTCTATCTGCTGAGGTTATGAAGGTGTTCAGCTGCGTAGACAACATGTCCGTTTGACTTCTGAAGAAGGCTAAACTACCGAACTTCAGATATTGTGAGTGCTGTGATAACAACTTCGTATTTGCTCATCAAGAAAAACAGTGTCCGTCTTAGTACTTATTTTATCAGTTTTACTTCGCTTAATTGTTTATCTGGTTCCAGAACCCCCCAATCTGCGTCTTTGATTTTTCCTCTTTTCAAACAGAAAAATAAGAGTTGAATTTTTTAAGACACTAGGAACAGATTTTTAAGATAACATTTTCAATATTTTTACTTTTGATCAACGCCGAGAGCTTCATCATCCTTCGCCCGATGACTTAGTACTTATTATTTTTCATGGCAGAATAGGATGTGAACTGAAATCGAAAGGATGTTAAGATATAATCAAAATTTAGAATCTCAAGTGGACTATGAACACCCGATCAGGCTTTCCAGAGGCTCACGTGCTTCTCCTTTGATTCCGTTCCGACTCATTTCCGTTGACGGGTGATTACCGATTGCGGAGATATAGTGGAAAAAATGGCTGCGAGAAAAGCAAAGCAAAGGCTTCGGTCGCTGTGGTGGATAGCACGTGAGCTCCCGGTAAACGTGATCATGGGTTCGAAGCCTAAATAAGGCTTTGAATTTTGCTCATATTTCATAAGATTCCTTGTTTTTCTCGACAAACAGCAATTTAATTGTGAGCGGCCAATTGTTTTCTACTGTGAATTAAGAATAGTTAATAACTCTTCGTAGCAACTGGGCTCAATTCGTCATATCAGTTTACAACGAAACGAAATTTCACCATGCTAGCAGTCGCGAATTATACTTGTTGCTTATCTTTGTCAGTTCGGTGCAATCGATGTATACTACTTCCTTGAAGACTTGGATGCGCTGCCTTCACCGGTTGTGCTGGACCCAGCACTACTTTCATTTCTTCGGAGTTTTCTGATTTAGCCACTGTGGTTCCCAGGACTCCCGAGGTCAACCTAGCCAAAGTCTGCTCCAGGTCATCACCACCACAGGCAGTCGCCATCCTTGCGGATCAGAGAGAGATTTGTCGCCACGTAACTAGTTTAATACTAGAACTGTGGTGGACCCTGGCATTGATATATACGTAATCCAAAAACTGACTTTCAAATTTCACGGCGTTTCTCTACATGGAATGACCCAATATTGCTGACTTCCTCGAAAGATTTCTATTTGGTACTAGTTTAACAAACCTTACACGTACTTTGCTGGTACATCTTGTAATAGTTCCCAGAATCGACTTTCTCTTAACCTCGGCATTGGAGTATGAATGTGTCTTGTTCAGCAATCGCGAGGTTTTTAAACAGCATACATTTACTTCCATAAAAAACACAATACAATACAACGCTAGCTGACGTTTGGGCAGTCTCGCCTTCTTCAGAACCTGGAACGTTATACTGATATACAAGATTGTATTGCTCGCGATTGCTGAACAAGAAAACGACACTTACACGTACTATTTTCTTCAATAAATTGGTATCAATACTTTAAATGTAACAATAAGGCTTACCTGATTTTTATAGGTTTTTCAATGCTCAAAGCGCTCAATGTGAGCAATTCTCGTACGGATCCTGTGGTGGAAACGAGAACAATTTCATGGACAGAACTCAGTGCGAAATGAAGTGCATGTCTGGTAAGTAGTTTCATTGTTATTCTTCTTATGGGAAAAGTATTTCTGATTGACTGATGACTTTCGAATTTTTTTCTCAAATTAAACTAGGCCTTAACTACGTTATTTTACGTATTTGGATACTTGGACGGTCCGTCTTCATGAGCTGTGCGGGCCCCAGCACATATACCATTCGTTCCTTTCTCTCGTAATCGTAGTCCATGGTGATGGTCTTGTTCGAACATGGTAGCGCTTACCAGTCTCATACCGTGATCTGTAAAACAACTGCAGCTGCGGGTACAGCTGATTAACTTTGTTTACGAACACATCCACTCAACGTGTAGGTGGTCATCTAAGAGGACGTTTGTATTCTGTTGGAGTCCACTCTACTGTTCTTTTCGTCCATCTGTCGTCTGTTCTTCTCATTATGTGACCGGCCCATCTATGTTTCGCTGTCGATGTGTGTTCTCCTGGATCTCGAAAATGTTATCGAACGAAGAACTATGTTATTTTGCTGATTTTATGTCTGATACGGTGATTTTCGTGAAAAACAGAAGTCTTTAACAATGCGGTGTATGAACGCAGGCCAAGCAGTGTTTCAAGGTGTTTGGCAGAGCTACTTTAAACTACTTGTGGCATCGATTAAACTGTTACAGATTTTTCATGAGCTCATATGAGATTAGTAATATAGCGCGTTTTTTTCTCGCTATGACTAGTACTTTGAGTTCTCGCGTCCTACTGATAACTTGAAAAAACTGGAACACGCAATCTGCTATGTCAGATACTTTCATTATCTCAGGAAAAAGTCGAAAGCTTAAATTTCGGTTGCACACCAAACAGTTTTATAGATAGCTACCGTATTTACGTCCTTCTTCTGTTAAGGAGTGTAACCGCAAAATTCACCTGGTTTGAGGAATGTAACCCTTCCAGGTCACATATTTTGATCACTTTGATAGCACTACTCACATGAAAGTGCATGAAGAATCGTTCTCTGCGAATCATTTAAGGTTGTGTTTGTCCAAAAAAGAAGTGTGAAGAGTTTGCAAACTGGCTTTTTTCTAAAATTTCTATGATATCGCAATGATTTTTATCACAAAACTTTTACCCATTCATTTATTTATGCGATCTTATAAACTGATCTTCTTAAGCTGATGCGAGGTTGGTATAGGTCTTCGTTGTCG